AATTGACTTCAAGGGTAACGCTCTGAGAGTTATTTGTTTTAGTGAAGGTGAACTCCATGTGAGATACTTGGGTATACCTTTAATCTCAGGGAGAATGTCAAGTATGCAGTGCAATGTTCTTGTGGACAAGTTAACCAGTAGGATTAGGTAATGGAGAGCTGGTAAATTGACTTATGCTGGAAAATTACAATTTGTCTCATCATTTTAATTTTCAATGGTGCAATATTGGATGTCCATTTTTGTGTTGCCTAATAATTACTAAATATTGAGAAAGTATGTTTTGATATCCTTTGTTTTGGGGATGGCTCTGGTAATGCCAAGGTTGCTTGGGAACTATAGCTACTCCAATCTTGAAAGAGGGTTTATGCTAAAGACACTCAACCTCCTCGAACATAGCTTGTACTGCTAGACTTCCCTAACTATTGTTAATGACAAGTGGTAGCTTCTGGGTTGTTTTGATTCAACAATACAGTCTGAGTGATAGATCAATCTGGATGATATAGGACACTGCAGCAGGATCCTGGCTTTGGAGAAGATAATTGAAACTGAGAACGTTGTTCTTATATTGAATGTCTGTGGATAATGAAGCGACTACTTGGGATTTGGGAAGACAAACTGATGACTAGATTTTCTGTCAAGTTTACCTGAGAATCTATATGTCCTAAACATCCACAAGTCCAATGTGGGAAACTGGTTAAGGGTAAATTTCATATTCCAAAAAATAGCTTTCTGGCTTGGTTAATTATATTGAATCGAGTTTACACTAGAGACAATCACTATGAATGGGATAAGATTACTATGGATACTCGTGTTATCTGCAATTCAGCAAACATATAAGATATAATTTGTTTTGCGTCATTACACTACTGAACTTGTGACAACAATGTTTAGAAAGCTAACAACTCTTTGCTCGTTGATTGTGATGCTACTCTTTCTCATATGTGCAACCTCGCTAACTCTGGTGGAGCTGTAGAAAGAGTAAGAAGTGTGCTTTGGTGGTGGATGGTAGATCTCTTCTCGAAGGAGACGTGCAATCGAGTTTTTGGTACAGCTGGAAAGACATGACAGACTTTGTTCTCACAACAATAGTTGGAATTCAAGTTATACATGTTTGGTATAATACATATTGATAGTGAGATTAGATAGATTTTTGTTTTTGATAATCTGTATAGTGCTTAATAGTTTTGTTTAGAAGTGCTCTTTGTAAAGGATGAGATATTTGGATGTTGACATGTACTTTTTTGACATTGGATCAATTTGATCGAAGGTGCACCGAATAATACCAAATAATCACAGAAAAAATTGATCCCTTACCATTTGCAAGAAAATATTACGACTACACGATAAATGCGTGAACCATCGTTTATCTCAGGGTGATCGTGATATTCGTGGTTATTATCAAGCTAGCCTTAATCTGTGGATAGAGTATGACATGTTAACTGCTTCCTTGGTTTCTGGTGTTGAATCGGCTGTTATTCTTCAAGAATAGCATCGTACCCGAGTTATGCGGTTCTTGTCTAAACTTCGTCCTGAGTTTGAACCTATACTAATTCAAGATTCACATTATTTTCAATTGAAAAATAAAACTTATTCAATGTAGCACTTGATTAGGATATTTGATCAAAGTGACGTGGATTCAAGTCATGGCAAAAAAAAAAAAAAAAAATCTATTAAAAACCTAAGAAAGAGGTAAAACCCGGTGGTTTGAGGTTGGGCTATTTGGAGGGTAACTACCCGAATTGGATTTAGACCTTATTTTGGTTATTTTCAATTGAAAAAATCTACACAATAGATTATGCACTTCACTCTATGTCATTGTTGCCACCTTGCACTTTGATTGGTTCTCCTTATTTGGTGGAAGGGCAACTTTGACAATTTTTCAAACACTCAAGGGTCACTCATTATTATTGGACTTTTGGTTTTCTTTTTAGTAAATGCGATTATGATTAATGAAGAAAAAGATTTGTGTTTGTACCGACTAGCTCCGGTATGAACAATGATATTTGTTGGTGTGGGTTGACTCACCATCCGTTCGTCCGATCTCGTCGGGAGGGAGAGAACCTGTGAAAGAGTCGGGGTTGCCCCCCGGATTAAGCTCCGACGATCAAGTCAGTTTATGTTTAAGGTGAAAGTTGAGAGAACAAGGTGGAGAGATAAAGTGTAGTGAGATAATGGAAAGTAGAAAATGAGGAGGGAGAAGAAGTCCCTTCTTTTGGAGGGCTTCAAGCCCTTATATACCTGTAGCGGGTGTCGAGTGTTGCGCATTGCCGATTGTGCGCCCTACTACTTAGTCTAAGCACGGAGTATTTCAGTAACACCCTCAACAATTTGTTTTAAGGTAAATGCTACATAATAATTATTTGAATTTTGCTCTGTGTAAATTTTTTTTGTGTGGTTAAGGAAAAAAAAGAGGCTATCTAAAGTTGTTTAACTCCTAAATGAGATAATGCTTGCGATTTGGATTTTGAGATGATATATCGTTGTGGCGTAGATGTTTGGGAAGAGGTTCCTTCGGAATAGGTTTTTTCGCATTAAGGTTTTACGTTAAACAGATAAACCAAGCATCAACCTTCAAAAGTTTTAGAATCTTAAGTTCACAGTGATTTCGGCAAACAAGAAGAGGAAGAAAGACGGGAAATCTTGGCAAAATACAACCAATTTATATTGTTTTAAATTCTTTTAATTTTCAAATTAGCATGTATAATTTTTACATTAAATTTTGAAAGGTAAGATCGCATGTTTAGTCGTAGGTTAAACAATAATTCAATCCATATCATACCGACTCGATATTTGTGTCGAATTAGATCAAACAAAAAAAATCAATTTTTTTAATCTATGTAATTGCTTAAAGTCGAGATAGTTTTTATTAGAAAATTATTAAACGTAAAATATGGTCCAATAGAATAACTTAAATGCTTCTTCAACCTAACTACGTTGTTATTTACATCTGAATAGTTCCATTAACGATTAAAAAAATAGTTGTATAATGATAAACCATTAACCATGAATCATTGAAATTTTACATCCGACAACCGCTCCGCTTTTGAAAATATAGGACACAGTCAATAAAATATTTAAAAATATGAGCATATTGTTAAAGGTTAAGTTTGAATTATGATAAGTAAATTTCAAATGATTGAATAACTTAAAAGGTCCATTTCAAGTCAAAATATTCTTTTGCTAATATTTTTCATTTTTCTCTTTCAAAAATATAAATTTAATACATCTATACTAATATTTTTGGATTTGCTTTACAAAATTGTCCAAATAATCTATTTCCATGTCATATTTTTTTTCTCCTCGAATTTTTGTATCTTTAAACTATTTAAATGTAATACATCTATAGTAATATTACGTACATCACTTTGTCTTTTTTTTTAAGGGAAGAACCAAATTTGGAGGATGTATGCGGGTATAGGCAATACAGGTGGCTTTCTGCATTGCAAATAAAGACACATGTGGCTCATGCACAGATCTTTAAGTCCATCATGTTCATCAATGACCTTATTTCTCTTGTTGAAATTGGTAAAAGAGGCAAATTACAGAAACCCTTATCGATCTATTCGAAAGATGAAGCTCCAATTGAGTTAGATATCTGTACCAATGCTCTGTTTTTCTGGCCTTTCTTCTTTCTTGGTATACTCTATCTTAAAACAGGGGAGAACGTAGTAGTAGTGAACGACAACCCAATTGAGCAGGCGCGGCTGATGGTTCCAATCACTGACCATCTAACTCAACCCACTACAAATTTCCAGACATGGTTCTCGGCCTAATCTCATGTTCCCTTCTCCCTTTCGTCAATAATTTCTTCGACTACTGGTCCAACCAACTCTACGCCAGCTCTGTCGTCGCACAGATTGTGGTTCGCCAACTATGGAATCCGCGGAGTTTACCACCACCAGGAGAATCCACACTGCTGCCACTTTGTTGCTCTTTCAAATAACCCGGTAAAATGTTATAGATTTGGGTATTTTATCTCGTTTTTCACTTCATTCGATGATGCAGGTTCAAACCTTTTAAAATTCTATATGCTTGGGTATTAATGGGATCGCATGTTGATAGAGTACTTTGTTGATTAACCTTACATGTGGTGGCCTTCAAATCTCGTCTCTTTTCCAGTTACCTAAGGTTGGGATTCATTGCTGTAAGAGTCTGTGGAAGGAGACCATGGCAGCCCAAGATGAAAGGGATTTCAAACGCCGGACCTCCATCGATCTCGATAAAGCATGCAGAACCGATTACAGAGACGCCTTCCAGAAAAAACTGCGCCATCTCTTTCTCTATTTCACATGGTCTCCTTATCATCGTGCATGGCTTGATACCGATTTCTTCGATCAAAATCCTCAATTCGTCTATTCATTTCTCTAGGCTTTTGAATTGATCAGGTTGAACGACCCACGGAGCCGAAACGTCAGGGAAAAAGAAGATTACGATGAATAGGGAGACTGGGGGATGTTAGGATGCTGAATCTCTGCAATTGTTTGCCAGAGTAAAGTTCAGCGGGTTCAGGGGTGAGGTACAGGGGGGATTTAAACCCTCGTTTTCTCATTGATGTTTTTTGGTTTTAATTAGCTTCTTTTTTTCATTGAAGTTTTTGGTTTTTGAATGAAAATTTTTATATGTTTATTGTGTGATGGAGAACAAAGTGATCAGGTGCGGATGATTTGTTGTAAAAAAAAGGTCGTGCTTGGCCAACCCAACAAAGATAAACACGGGCTTATGTGAATCTGACCGCAGAGAATCATAGAACTCCTTTATGAATAGTGGCTACCGGATTTTTCGTAAGGAACAGTAACCAGATTATTTTTTAAGTTTTGTAAGCTTGTGGTTTAATAATTTAAATTAAATTTTAAAGAAAGGAGCACGTTTGTCTTTTTTAATTATCAGAAGAAAACCTGTATAGACTACAATTATCTTAAAGCATACAAGAAAATTCAGACCAGAACACGAATAAACACATCCAAAAAATATAAAGTAGAACAAAAGTTGAATATGACTAAACCCGAACCCAACACAACTCGTAAAATAGTAATTGAGTTTAAACCCACACCCGACCCGACCCATAATCCGTAAATGCGGATTGGGTCGAATAGGATACCGTGAGTTCGAGTTATGTACTTATGTTGCATCCCTAATCTCTACCCGGCTATCCCTCCTCCAAAAGAAAAATCCGCAGATTCGACTACCTTCGGGTATTCAAATCACCGTTATCAGCTGTTTCCGTCGTCCAGCCACCACCACCATCTGTCTTCTGCAGTTCTGCTTCTTCTACTGCTGCTCCTATTGTCGTCGGCGGCGGCTTTGTTGGGAGTAGGAATCTCCGACTATCGGTTGGACGGTTGCATCCAATTTCTCCCTCAAATTTCCCAAAGCCTTAGAAATGATGAGAGGGGTGGGCGGACCGCTGCTTTGCATTGGCGATTTGCTGAGCGATCTTGCAGAGAAACACGAAGACGATCAACCTCATCCTCCTCCTTCGTCTTCGTCTTCTCCACGTGCGGAGGTTCCAGATTCCATCCACTCTCCGCCGCTTCATTTACCACCAACCGACCTACCCAAGCTTTTCCAGGTTCTCTCCTCTTTCCCTCTTCCCTTTCTGCGCCCAGAACTCCTGCTCTGGGAAACGATTCTCGATTTACAATCCGCACTACCGCGACTCTTAAATATTTCATTTTTCCTTACGGTTCGATTGAACTTTATGTTTCAGGAAAACTACGAGCAATTGAACCAGGCGCTAGAAGGGAGTGATCCTGCATGGACGGCCTTGACACTGAAGGTTTGGGTTAATGCATTTCCCCCTCTCTTCCTAATGGAGCAAGGAATTATGTTTTGTGTTGGTTTTTGACTCGATACAATTGGCATGGTTCCAGCTTTGCACTGCTGTGGAAACTGCAAACAAATTGGTCCAATCCACCAACTCGAACGCTAGATTGCTGTCTGAGAAAGTTGCAGAGATGGAGAAAGTCGTCAAGAGAGGCGATTCCGATGTAGCAGCAGCCAAGGTTATCCCAATCACCCTTGGCCAAAAGGGCAGACCCCAAACTTATAGCCCTACTCCGGAAGCTCATTGATCCAAGCGTAACTTCTTTCCTTTTCTCCTCTTTTATTTTGATGCTTTTGAATTCTCTGCCCGTGTCACTTGAACCAAAGAATTGCCGAGCTGAGCTAACAGATTAGTTTTAATACCCAACATTTACTTGGTTCTTAGTTGGAATGTAAAACCAAGATCCTTTACCGAATTGCAATCAACACATTACTTTCTGGGATACTTGGCCTAAGACTTGCTTTTCTTGTACGTATTGTGGTTTGAACATTATGGGAAGTTATACAGAGCAATTGGATGGAAATAGTATAGGCTACTTATTGCAACATGCTCAGGCAGCAGTTTGCATGTACTTCACACGAGACTCAGTATTCTTGTGTGTTGGTTTATGCGCTGCAGTCTGTAGGTCATTCCATCTTTACTTAGAATCGATCTCTCTATCAAATTAAGTGTTTAACATTCTTTTTCTTTCACCACATTATGGCCTTGTGCTTGATCTTGGCCTTCTGTTGCACTGTCAAACACACACAGACACACACACACAAGCTGTTCTTGCCTTTGGAAGAAGCTGTTGGTGTGTGTTTCTGTAACTCCTCCTGATAAGAGGATTTCCCTTGCAAATCCTAGCTTTAAGAAGGATTGGAAAGGTGCTGGCTCTCTCTCCATTTGCTTCTGTGCCTTGACTGTCATGTGGACCACGTATCGTCGGAACTCTATAGCATGCATGATGTCACGATTAAGACCATCAACAAATCTCATCGTTGTGGCTTGTGGGCTCACTCTCGATCCTCCTTCACATTTGTCGCAGATCCTCGATGCAAAATTTGAGTTGTGCAAATCACGTTAGATGTTTGGATGTTTGTACTGTTTTACTTAAAAAAGCAAGCCATTGTGGTTCTGTTTTGGAAGACAATCTTAGTCTAATTTATGAAGTAAATTGTCATTGATTATGTTCTTCCAATTGTATTGAATGTGGAAATTTAATGCAGTAATTGGGTTAAAAACCCAATGCAGTAATTGGGTTAAAAACTCACGTTTGGGGTTTGGCAGCGCAAAAAGGGTATGGGAATTGGACCGTGGAAATTGGCTTCAATTACCACATTCATTGTAATTGAGAATACTACATCTCCGCCTAGTAATTTGACATTACCACGTATTCTTCCTTCTATTTCCAAATGTGTCCCTATGTCCTTCCTCTCCTTTCTTTCTTTGTTTTTTTTTTTTTGATAAGGGTGATATAGGTTTCATTTTGTAATTAAGGTACTACTTAAGTGATTCGAACTTGGAACCTCCTTTCTTTCTTACTCCTTCTTCGTGTTCGCCTAACTATTTCTTAAAAGAGTAGCCCTTTCTTTTTCATTCATCAATGGTACCTCTTCTTCTTCATCTCCCCTCACCTTCGTATATCTCCTATAATCCGTCGTCAATTTCTTAATTTTGGATTCGCTTAATTATCTCATTCACCGTCAATTTTCCTACTTCTCCTCATCGAATTCGCCTAAACACTTTTAATATCCGTATTTAATGAATTAAATTGTTAACTTTATTGTAATTTATATATGTACTTATTATTAAAATAATTAAGTTTATAAATTTATGGCTTTTAATGTACTATTAAATGTAATATTAGCTCAGAGATGAAGTAAAATAATCGTACGTATTTTATAAGTAACTTTTTCATATAATATTTTTCTAACTATGCTTAAGATAGCAACAATTAGTAGTTAGTATAATACAACAACAACCTTTAGGAGGGGTATATGTATATAAACAAAGGAGGGTATTTTTGTATTTTTATCAAATTCCACACCATCAATTCCCACAAAATTAAACCCTATCCAAACGTGGAATTTTGTACAATTTTCACAAGTCAATTCCTTAGTTTTGTAAAACATGGAAATTCAGACAAATTCTCACGTTTTCAAATTTCCACATCCAAACGACATATCATAATCCTGTTACCTGTATTAATTCCTATTTCCTACTGTCCTTGGTCGAAGTATTGTTTTAGTACTCGGTAGAGGTGTAGACACAATGCATCGATCAGAGTGTGAAATGAGCATATGTAGCTGATATTACCCACATGTAGGGCCTAAGGGTGGTGGTCAGAGTTAAGCAAAGGTGTTAGGTTGACCCACAGAAAAGAAAGAGGGATGAAATTCTAAAATACACGTATTTTTTTAAAAAATTTCTAAAATACACACGTTATATAAAAATTCACAAAATACACATGTTTGGACATCACTGTGGCTGTCAACCGCAGTGAATGCATTCACTGCAGCAGACGAAAGTGGTGAATGCATCACCGAGGTGAATGCCTGATGTAACACCGAAATTTCAAATGAACGTAACTTTGCGCTCGGTTATCCGATTGTAGCGATTTTTTTTTATTCCGCATAAATTTTCAAGACCTTTTCTGCAACAAGCCTTCATCTAAAAAAAATGTCGTTTGTTATCTCGAACGAGCAATTTTTCAATTTTGGAAGGCCATAACTTTTAGCTCCTCAAACCGAATGTCGTAAAGTTTTTTTTTTAATTATGCATAACTTTTTAAGAACTACAACTTTTACTAGGAAATAATTTTTTTAAAAAGAAATATTATTGGGTATACAGGATTTTGGGAATAACTTTGCCTTTACTATTCACAAATCCGCATATATTCCAAAATTATGTTTATAATCAAAGTTGTAGTCCATCAAAAGTTATGTAAAATCAAAAAAGTTTCATGAGATAAATTGCTCGTTCGGGATAGCAAACGAATTTTTTTTTGGGATGAAGGCTTCTTGCAGATTGAAAGATCTTGAAAAGTTATGTGGAATAAAAAAAAATTCGCTACAATCGGATAACTGAGCACAAAGTTACGTTTGTTTGAAGTTTCAGTGTTACGTCAGACATTCACCGCGGCCGTCAACCGCGGTGATGCATTCACCGTGGCCGTCTGTCGTGGTGAATGCATTCACTGCGGTTGACGACAACAATGATGCCCAAACATGTGTATTTTGAGAATTTTTTTATAATGTGTATTTTGAGATTTTTTTTCAAGAAAGAGATCGTACACACGATGAAAGTAACCTTTCCTAGCGATCTATCGTCACTCATCATGTGTTTTTAATTGTATTTCTCCCACATCTTGAGCGTGGAAAGGGTGGGTTAATAACTTTGATGTAAAATATCATACTTTGATACTATGTTCAATGTTCAATGACCTTATAAGTATGTACTTTACATTAGAATCAATCAAAGCAGTTCAATGAGAAAAGAATCTCTTAACCCTATTATTCCAAATCTTTTGAACTCCATCTTTTCTTTCCTATAGTCTTTGTCGCAAATCATTCTTCTCATTCTTCCTCAATTTTGTTATTCAATCCTTAATTCTCATTCGAATTTCACATTCTCTTATCATAATCTCTTGATCCCTATTTCAATTTGATTCCCAATTTCATAATCCGACTTAAAGACACCCTAGATCACATGACTTTTTACAATGGTATCAGAGCAGGATCATATGATTTCAGGTTGGACGTACGGGTTAGGAAAAAGAATCCCCATGAGAGAACTAGTCCAGATTACGAAAGCGAAGCTCAACTGACTTTCAAGCCGTCATCGCACGACCAGCTCCTATCCAGAATCGTCAGCAATTGTCTTGATCGATTCCCCAGCTCTACCAACCACTACGTTTTTGCCGTCAGAACTACGGGCAACCGCTTGTGCCGTTAGGCTTTCTATGTCGAAGTTGGTCTTGGATGCTGAGATATGATTTTGCTAACATTAGTGAAACTCCCGTCCTGGTCGTTTCGAGCACCACACCACGCCACCAAGTTCTCCATTACCAGCGATGGACTCTACGCGCGTTGCATCATCCACGCTGCAAAAAGGGAATGCAGTCTAACTTTATTATTGTCATGCCTTGTGTCGTCGAAAACCACCATCATTCTGCACGACGTGTCACCAAAGAAGACTTGTAAGTTTGTGTACAATATAAGTAAGATTTATACTTTAAGTGATTTGTATACCTTGTAATCTTATTTCGTATATGATACGGGATAGATTTGGATAGCTCCCTTTTCTTGGCGGGAGTCGACCAGGCTTCTCTTTTCTTGGCGAGAATGACCAGTGGTTTCTTAATTCTAAATATGTCTACCTTCTTTCATTCCATTCGTAAGTATAAATACAAATGACAAAAACAACTTCCCTAACAAATAGCCACTACTACTATTCCTATCTGCACGTTCCACTTAAAGTGGAAGTCTTTATTTCCTTAACAACCCTGAAAACTAATTCAACAACTCCACAAACTAATGCAACAAATGAATTCCATTTCTGATACATGTTGGATTTGGATAGCTCGCTTTTTTTGGCGGGAGTAGACCAGTTTATCCTTTCTTGACGAGAATGGTCAGAGGTTTCTTATTTTCTCATATATTGCTTGCCTGTTATTCGATAAACTCTTAACTTAAATATATCACGTTTGCAAAGGAAAGACAACTAAACCTATCTACGAGGAACTACTCCCACATTCAGCAACTAATGGGCTAAACTTGCTCCACCTGTTAAGCTAAACTCTAAAGACTATAACAACTAAGATGAAAACTCTAACAAGTCTATGTAACTCCTTCAACTAACGGAAACCTTCAACTAACCAAGGTTGAACTCTTGCAACACCAAGCCTCGCTCCTGATGGGCTGAGCTACTCCTCATTGTCATATTAGCCGTGTTGGAACGAACGTATGGGCTTCTCATTACCACCCCCTGAAAAACGGCCTTGTCCTCAAGGCCAAGCTTAACGAAGCGATCATTGAAAATGCAACCTTCCAAGACGACGCGCGGAGGACGACAACGACGATTCTAGATGGCGTGGCTTTGGTCGCTTTCAAAACTTTCAAGTTGCAGCTTGACCTCCGTTCTTCTTTCTCGCATTGGCAGGAACTCTATGCCCCGTAGCTTGATCATAGGTGCGGCGCACAATTGGTCCTTCACACTCACGTGACTTGGTCCATGAACAAAGCAGAGAAAGCCTTCCCCCATAATCATATTTGCCCCACGATAGAGTTAGTCTTACACGTTTAATTGAGTGGACAAGCAGCGACTGCCGCCAACCCTTTTGTGACAGTAGCCCAACATTGGCGGCCTGAATTCATGCTCTTTTTGCAGCCTCCACAATAGCTTTCTTCATATAGAAATCCATGGCAATGGGACCAGAACCCGGTGGTTGCAGCTGATGTGATCTATGAGAAATGGCCTTGGAGTTTGGCTTCACTCCATAGAGAAGGCCTCCCGTTAATCCACCCATCGTCAGCCAAACGCAGCCTTGAATGGTAGGCTCGTCTGCGGCACCCAGTCCCGCAAAATTCGAACCAACCACCGCCCTCTTGCAAAACCCATCTTCTTCACGACTTCCTTCTCCTCCATTGCGCTCTTGGCCACCGTCCTCCAACTCTCTTTTCCTTCTAAATTTTCGTGAAACGTCAAATCGAATTGAGATAATTTGTTGTTCTTTCACATCCTTTAATCCAGCCTCCCGAGGAATCATCTCCCCTGCCACCCGATATGCTATTTCTTTGTTGTTTGAGGCGCTCGACACGGCAGCTCCCGAATCGATGGATAGGCTTGAGACTCTGGTCATTGAGAGGATAGGAATTTCTGCATCAACTATGTTGGATTGCAGCCTTTCAAACGAACTCGAAAAGGTCTCTATCTTTGGCGGTGGTGGACCAATGACAACAACAATAGAAGCGGTAGGTACCGACATCTCTGCTGTGACGACCCGGAGTGCAAGGGGTCTTGGTTGCAGAACGATTTTAACATCTTTCATGGCGGCGAGGGTAACGAGCGGCGAAGTCGGTGCAATGGCAGTCGACGACGACGCTATTATGGGAGACACATACGACATCAAAGGCGCAGGTGGTCCGACATCGAAAAATATACATCTTCTTCCTCTACCTCTACGGAATCGGCAGCTTCAACTTGCGGCGGTGGTGCAGTGACTCGATCGTAAGCCTTGGTGGCTCTACGGCAAGCTGCCATCACTATTCCAAAGATGTTATCATCCGATTGATGAGTTCATCTCTTGATGGTTTCTCTGAGCTCATCGTGATCGAAACACGGATCGAGGCTCTGATACCAAATGATACGGAATAGATTTGGATAGCTCCCTTTTCTTGACGGGAGTCGACCAGGTTTCTCCTTTCTTGGCGAGAATGACCAGAGGTTTCTTAATTCTGAATATGTCTACCTTATTTCATTCCATTCGTAAGTATAAATACAAATGCCAATAACAACTTCCCTAACAAAAAGCCACTACTACTATTCCTATGTGCACGTTCCACTTTAGGTGGAAGTATTTATTTCCTTAACAACCCTGAAAACTAATTCAACAACTCCACAAACTAATGCAATAACTGAATTCTAATCATGCTACACTACGAACCAAGACGCAAACCAACTAATCATGGACCAAAGCACATTGCACTAGTGAACTCGGCTAGAACATCAAGGCCCACCAATTCGTGCCTCTCATCAGATATGTTTATGATTTAATTTGTATACTTTATATTTATATTATTGGTTTGTATGCAATTTATATCAGTTTGCATTGCAAGTAGGACTGTTAATGAGCCGAGCCGAGTCGAGTTTTCCCTTGTTCAGATTTGGTTCATTTATAAACGAGCTGAGTCGAGGCAAACACAAACCAACTCAATTATTGAATCTCAGCTTATTATTAAGATCAAAATTTCGGCTCAAGCTCAACTCTAAGATAATTTATGAATTAAATAACCAAATATTTATATGTAATATACGATATATTTGAGTGACTGATCGTCATGTAAAATACGAGATATATATGCTTACATACTCAAATTATTAAACATCACAGGAGGTGTGATATATAATTTAATAAATATATGCATCATTAACAAACCAACTCATAAGATATAGATTGATTTTCTCATAAGTCGTAATCAAGTTGGCTCACTAGTTACAATGTTGAGACATTTCATGAGCTCAAAATGAGATAGTTCATGAGTCGAACTCAACAAGCACCCTAATCGAGCTAGTTCACGAGCCGAACAATGTTAAGTTCAAGCTTGGCCTGTTAATAAACGAATCGAGCTTTTATTGAATCGAACGAGCTTTTATCGAGTTTGAGATCGAGCCGTTCACGAATATCTTGGTTCATTAACATCCCTAATTGCAACTAGTGTTTTAATACTGTTAGTATGCTTTGTATACAATATCAATCTGATTACTATATATGATGTGATTCGTATCATGTTGGTGTTGCCCGTTAGAAAAGATTATATTGTTTATATATATACAAATTGTTGTAGAAAGATTTGGGAAATCAGAGACAGTCGACAAAATAGCTCGTTGGGAGTAAATCAACATCACTAGAAGCTTGGAAATCAAGTCAAAATCAATCAGCTGATTGATTACATAATCAGCCAAAGAATCACTCCCTAAATTAAGCGTTGCAAATAAGGAAAGACGAGGTGTTTCCAACTCACACAAATCTTCACCTCCTCATCTATAAAAGGGACTGAATCGCATTACCTCAAGGCACTTTTGTGAGACAACGGAAAAGGGTTTCGACACAAAAGGGTTTAGCAAAGGGGAAGAGGTTCTTTGCTAGTGGCTGATACAAATTCCAGAGTTTGGAATTTGGGTTGCTTATTCGTCATTCTACCTTATTTCTAGTATTTCTTTCTTTGAGTCTTCGTTTCAATTTGCTTCTTTTGTATGTGTAAGTTAGATCGTAAAGAAAATAAAAATAGAGTCATAGGTGTGGACGTAGCCCATTGCACCAGGGTGAACCACGTTAAAAATATCGTGTGTTCTTTAGATTTCTGCACTTTTCTTTTCGTACATCATCTTCCATATCAATTCTCTGTTTTCCAAGGATTTTGATCCAAGGAAGAAAACAGACCTAAGTGTTCTCTATTGGTCTCCTCGGTTGGGCTCACCAATTCTCAAGCCTATCTCAACGTTGGCTTTCTGCTCATAGATTTCGAGTGGGCTTGAGAAGATCAGGCCCAAACTGAAGGGGAGAATCAGAACGAAAAAACCCGAAGGACTTCTCCTTCATTTTCGATCTTCTTCCCTCTTCTTCTTCTTCTTCTTCTTCTTCTTCTTCTTCTTCTTCTGCTTTACTTTCCCAAACTTACAATCCCTAAAATCGGAACCTTTGATTACAATTGGTATCAGAGCCAATCCCTTGATTGAACTACATACTGCCAAGGGAATCGATCATGGGATCCTCTGTCTTTGGTCATGCATCATACAATCATCCGCCTTTATTCACAGGAACGAATTACACCTCTTGGAAACGCCGCATGGAAACTTTCCTTTGGGGAGTCGATGAAGCTCTCTGGTCGGTGATAAGCGATGGTCCTCTTGCCATGGATCTTGCCCAGCGATCCACCTGGAATGATGCTCAGAAGAAAAGCGCCTAGCTAAACAAAAGGGCGATGCATATTCTTCACTCGGCCATGGCAGCGACTGAGGCGGATAAGATCGAGCACTGCGACACGGCTCAGGAGATCTGGATTGCCCTTGAGAAGACATACGAAGGAACCTCGAACATCAAGGAGACACACATCGATCTCCTCATGCATGATTACGAGACATTCGCCATGAACCCAGGTGAGGATATTCAATCCATGTATTCTCGCTTTACTATCATTCTAAACAAATTAAAGGGTTTAGGAAAATCTTTCGTAAGTAAGGATATAAATTGAAAGATTCTTCGTTCATTACCTAAGGAATGGTTACCTAAAAGAACTGCAGTCGAGGAGGCGCAAAATCTAAATACTTTACCAGTTGATGAATTGATTGGTTCATTATTGAGCCATGAGCATGTTGTTAGACAAGTTCATGGTGAAGATAAGAGGCAGAAAAGTCTCGCTTTTCGAACTAGAGCCTATCAGGATGACTCTGAAGATGATTCGTTTCTTGATATTGATAAGGAAATAGCCTTTCTTAGTAAGCTCCTTCAACGAATAATTAAACATAAGAATGAGCAAAAACGGTTCAACACCACCTCCGGAAAATTCACTAGTCAGGATAGAACTGATAGAACTCACCCTGGTTTCAAGGATAGCCTGCCGTTTAGGCAGACCAGAGATGTGGATGCAGGTACTTCGGCTAAGGAACCACAAGGCTGCTACAAGTGTGGCCAACCAGGCCATATCCGTGCACATTGTCCTCTCACACTCAAAGCCAAAGAAAAAGCCATGATGGCCTCTTGGAGTGACTACGGCTCTGAGTCAGACGATGATCAGGTAGACGAGGAAGCATTTATGGCCTTTGCCATGAATGTAGAAGGTAACTCTGCTCACTCTTCTGCTGAACTTGCCTTCAAAACAGCAACATTTACCTCAGACATGAATGATGAGCCTCACTCGTATATGGATAGTGGGTGCTCCCATCACATGACTGGCACAAAGCAGTTGTTCTCTTCTCTATCCCCTAGAAACGGTGGTAAGGTTATCTTTGGTGATGATAGTTCTGGAAATATCATTGGTCATGGTACTATTGACCGAGAACCCTTTCCTGTTATTCATAACGTTTTACTGGTCGAGTGTCTAAAACATAACTTACTCTCAATAAGTCAGTTATGTAGTAGTGGATATAAAGTGATTTTTGAAGCATCTCATTGTGTCGTTGAAAACTCACAAGATCACAAAACTTTGTTTGTTGGAAAACGTCAGAATAACATGTATGTTATTAATTTCCAGAAATTAGGATCATCCGGTGAAATATGTTTTGTGGCTGCATCACAATTAGAACTCCTTTGGCATCGTAAGTTGGGACATGTTAGTCTATCCATACTGTCTCGTCTGTCTAAATCTGAATTAGTTCGTGGTATTCCTTTATTAAAAGACAAATCAGATTTTTTCTGCCATATTTGTGTTCAAGGCAAACACACTAAACGAACCTTCAAACCAAAATCTGGAATTACAACCTCTGCAGTTTTTGAACTGATCCATATGGATCTCTTTGGTCCTTGCAATGTTTCTAGTCTAGGAGGTAAGAATTATGCATTTGTGCTTGTTGATGACTTTTCTCGATATACTTGGGTGTATTTTCTTGGGTATAAGAGTGAAACCTTTTCAAAATTTCAAACTTTTACTCTTACTTTTGATAAGAAAATTTCAACCATCAAAAGTGACAATGGCGGAGAATTTATCTCAAATGAATTTGAAAGCTTATGTGATTCCTTGGGCATTCATCATACCTTCTCTGCTCCACGTACACCTCAACAAAATGGGGTTGTAGAAAGAAAAAACCGTACTCGAATTGAATGTGCTAGAACCATGCTTCTTGAATATGGGTTACCTAAATATTTTTGGGCAGAAGCAGTTAGCACAGCATGCTATATAGGAAATCGAGTTTTAATTCGTAAGCACTTAAATAAGACACCTTATGAAATCTTTAAAGGCAAGAAACCAAGCATTTCTTACTTTCATCCCTTCGGTTGTCTCTGCTATTGTTTGAATACCAAGGACAACTTAGGCAAATTCGATGCCAAGTCTGATGAAGGAATTTTTCTTGGATACTCTATTAAAGGTCAAGCTTATAGGGTGTTTAATAAAAGGACTCAACGGGTTGAGGAAACTGTGCATGTAACCTTTGATGATACTAATGTAGCTTTGCAGCCTAGCAACCCAGATATGGAAGTATTTGACTTTGCAGAGATGACAAATTCATCAAATGCATCGGCCACGACTCAACCTACAGATGCAGACTCCTCGACTCCTGCAACAATTGTCAATTCTGAGGTAGACATACATCAAGATATCCCTACACCACTCCCTACTGCATCCGAAGACTCTCTCGAAGTCCACTCGTGTGATCCAGAACTTGACACTCACAATCTGGATCCGAAAGACACTCTGACAGCTCCAGCACACATCACGAAACGACATCCCACAAGTCAGGCCATTGGCCAAATAACAGATGGGGTCAGAACTCGAGGTAAGTACACTCCTGGCCAATACGTCTTTGTTTCTCAACATGAGCCTAGAAATTATAAGGAAGCCCTGAAAGATGATGAATGGTCTTTTTCTATGATTGAAGAATTGACTCAATTTGAACATCTTCATGTGTGGGATCTAGTTCCATGTCCTGATACTGTGACTCCTTTAGGAACAAAATGGGTTTTTCGGAATAAAACTGATGAAGAAGGTATAATAATCCATAATAAAGCTCGTTTAGTTGCTCAAGGATACTCACAAGAAGAAGGGATTGACTATGATGAGACATTTGCACCTGTTGCTCGTCTCGAATCAATCCGTCTTCTCTGTGCTTTTGCTAGTTATATGAACTTTAAATTATATCAGATGGATGTTAAGAGTGCCTCCTTAAATGGTATCATAGAAGAAGATGTCTATGTAACCCAGCCCCCTGGTTTTGTAAGTCATGAACACCCAAACTACGTTTTTAAACTAAATAAAGCTCTCTACGGCCTTAAGCAAGCTCCTCGTGCTTGGTATGACCGACTCACGTCGTTCTTACTAAGTCAAGGCTTTGAGCAAGGATCCGTAGACAAAACTTTGTTTATTAAACGTGTTTCTAGTGATCTTCTTTTGGTTCAAGTATATGTCGATGACATTGTTTTTGGATCAACCAATGATCAACTATGTTCTGATTTCTGTGCTTCTATGAAAAGTGTTTTTGAGATGAGCATGATGGGTGAGCTACAATTCTTCCTAGGTCTACAAATAAAACAAACTAGTGAAGGTATTTTTATTAATCAATCTAAGTACATCTCCTCCATGCTTAGTAAATTTGGCTTCAACTCCCTAAATCCTAGCCCTACACCGATGGCTACTACTACTAAGCTTTGTCAGGATGAGACAGGAAACCCGGTAAACGAGTCTCAGTATAGGGGCATGATAGGTTCTTTACTCTATCTTACTGCCAGTCGACCTGACATCCTCTTCTCTGTTTGTCTATGTGCTCGGTTTCAATCAGCACCCAAAGAAAGTCATTTAGCTGCCTTAAAGCGCATTTTTAGGTATATTAAAGGCACGTCTGATGTAGGTCTATGGTATCCCCGACATGATCGCTTTGATCTATTAGGCTACAGTGATTCTGATTTTGCTGGTAGTCTTACTGATCGTCGTAGCACCACTGGTAGTTGTCAGTTTATAGGAACCTCTCTGGTTTCATGGTCTAGTAAGAAGCAAAGTGCAGTGGCTTTATCCACAGCTGAGGCAGAATATATAGCAGCTGGTAGCTCATGCACTCAGCTTCTTTGGTTAAAAAATCAGCTAGCCGATTATGGTATAAAAACATTAATCATGCCTTTGTTTTGTGATAACACCAGTGCCATCTGCATTACTAAAAATCCCGTGCAACATTCTAGAACCAAACATATAGAAGTGAAATACCATTTCATCCGGGATCTAGTCCAAGCTCAAACTATTGCTCTCCATCATATTCCTACTGAATTTCAACTGGCGGATATTTTTACAAAATCTCTCCCTGCTGATCGATTCATCTTCTTGTGCTATGAACTTGGGCTTCGCTCCCATCAGGCTCTCTCCGAGAGCATTATTCTCTAAGCTTTTCTTCCTTTTTAGTTTTTTTTATTATTTATTTTTCTTCATGTTCTGATCTTCATTTACTACCTTCTTTTTGTGTGACAGTTTTCTTCTTGTTTAGTAGTTTCCTTGATTGAGTGTGTCGTGTTTATTTAATACCCAGCCCTAGGTAAATTCCGTGTACTCTCCATCTGCTCCCTCTCTGTCTGGTTTTACAATGGTACTCATCATCACATACACGGGTACATTGTTCCTTGAGCCTATCATCTCAAACTATCATCGTCACATCCAGTTTTTTATCAATCGCCCCTTGATTTCCTTCTGTCTTGTGCCGTTCCCTGCATTAGTAGAAGCTGGCCTTGATATTACTCCCTATGTTCAGAACCTTGGTTGGACCCCTTTCCTTGATGCTCCTCTAACGACGTCGTTCTGCCCTGAAATTATTCAACTGTTCTATTCCAATCTTCAATCCCCTGGGTTGTCATCTCGTTCCTTTCACTCTCTGGTCTTTGGCCATGCCTTCGCTATTCATATTGATGATCTCAGCATGCTCTTGCATATTCCTGTTCATGGGGCTACTTTAGCCGATGAGTCCGAATTTCCCCTGTTTGCTTTCAACATTGCCGAGGAATTTCTTGCTATTACTGGCCATCCTCCAGAACCAAATAACACTTTACCTGTCACTGTCCTTCCCCCACCCCTTCGTCTCCTCCACTATTACATTGTTCGAGTCTTTCTTCCCAGAGATCACTCTGTTACGACTATTCTCCCTCTCGATCTTTGGATCATCTCGAATGCTGTGCATGGTACCCCTCTGAATTACTTTAACTTATTTTTTGGGTCCCTACTGCGATTTACTGAACCTGTCCTAGGTGAAGCTCTGCCTTTCGGTCCCCTTGTGTCGACCATTCTCGTTCACCTTGAGATAAACCTGTCATCCTTTATCACTTTCAATCCTGTGTTCTCCCCTATGGTTGCGGATATTCTTGAAGCTCTGGAGATTGCGATTGAAGGGGAGGAACCTCTTGACGACAACAGTGGAGACAAGGACACTGTCAAGGAAGAAGTCGACAGCAGCACTAGTGTTAGTTCCAGTGAGAGCAGTGACACCAACAACAACAACACTAGTGATGATGTTTAACTTAGTTTGGTTGTTTAGCTAGTCTTATGGTTGTCGGCTTTAATTTTGTGATAGACTATGATTGCTTAGGTTTATTATGATTGCTTCGGTTAAAGCTGTGTCGGCCTTGTTCTTTATGATAAACTCTATTTTCCTCTATGTGGATTAATTGTGCTTCTTAAAGAGATGTGGTTGCTCAAATAACTATTTCATTTGTTAAAAACTAACTCCTTGAGAAGAGGAAAGGTAGTGTCGTCTTTTTTGTTTCAGGCAATCGACAATCTCTGATTTAAGGGGAGATTGTAGAAAGATTTGGGAAATCAGAGACAGTCGATAAAATAGCTCGTTGGAAGTAAATCAACATCACTAGAAGCTTGGAAATCAAGTCAAAATCAATCAACTGATTGATTACATAATCAGCTCAAGAATCACTCCCTAAATCAAGCGTTGCAAATAAGGAAAGACGAGGTGTTTCCAACTCACACAAATCTTCACCTCCTCATCTATAAAAGGGACTGAATCGCATTACCTCAAGGCACTTTTGTGAGACAACGGAAAAGGGTTTCGACACAAAAGGGTTTAGCAAAGGGGAAGAGGTTCTTTGCTAGTGGCTGATACAAATTCTGGAGTTTGGAATTTGGGTTGCTTATTCGTCATTATACCTTATTTCTAGTATTTCTTTCTTTGAGTCTTTGTTTCAATTTGCTTCTTTTGTATGTGTAAGTTAGATCGTAAAGAAAATAAAAATAGAGTCGTAGGTGTGGACGTAGCCCATTTCACCAGGGTGAACCACGTTAAAAATATCGTGTGTTCTTTAGATTTCTGCACTTTTCTTTTCGTACATCATGTTCCATATCAATTCTCTGATTTCCAAGGATTTTGATCCAAGGAAGAAAACAGACCTAAGTGTTCTCTATTGGTCTCCTCGGCTGGGATCACCAATTCTCAAGCCTATCTCAACGTTGGCTTTCTGCTCATAGATTTCGAGTGGGCTTGAGAAGATCAGGCCCAAAAACTGATGGGGAGAATCAGAACGAAAAACACCGAAGGACTTCTCCTTCATTTTCGATCTTCTTCCCTCTTCTTCTTCTTCTTCTTCTTCTTCTTCTTCTTCTTCTTCTTCTTCTTCTTCTGCTTTACTTTCCCAAACTTACAATCCCTAAAATCGGAACCTTTGATTACAATTGTTTTATTATCAACAATTTATCAACATTCACATTGATAAAAGGGTTAATATATTTACATGGCCCGAACTTTTCACTTATATAACATTCTTACCAATCTTTTCGATTTATAACATTGTAGGCTAAATTTTAATAACCCGAGTCATCTCGAGTGTTGACCGTTATATTTGACGGTCAACACTGTTGACTGACAATCAACCAGCCAAGTCACCGTCTAATCGGCATAAAAATACTTAAAAATTACTAAATTTCACATATTAGCTCATTTTTAACTATTATAATTAAATTAAATAAAAAATTGAAATTGAAATATAAAAAAACATAAAACACATGCATCATACGTGCATGTGTTCCGTAGTGTAGGGAGTTGGTTGTCACATTGTTACAATTAGTGTAGTTGATTGTAATAGTACATGAGCTGTATCCAAAACCCATAGATTGATGTGCAGGGTTCGGCACATATAAAAGGCAAAGCGTAGCCGCTGGAAAACCTAAGCAAATGCTATAAGATTGACTCGAGAGCTCTAGCTCTTCGTGGACTAGTTTCGTTCTAATCGAACGTGGAAACCACGTAAACACTGTGTTATTCATCTTGGATTCTTTGTTTTTTACATGGTATCAGTCTCAGAGCTGTAACATCCTACCTGTGGATTATCCTTGTTTTGGCGTGGGTTCTGCTTCCTGTTCGTTGCATTATGGGCGACGACTCCAAGGACAGTACGAGCAGCGACGAAGGCGACATTCCTGACAAGCCTCTTACCTCCGACGTCAACTCTGTTTACTTCCTTCCTCGGACAGACTCGCAGCATGCCAGTGAATGGGTCATTGATATGATCGATTCGCTCCTTGCCAAGAACAAGTTGAGCTTTGTTGATGGAACCCTGCCCAGGCCAAAGACGCAATAGAAGAGTCAGCCTGTCTCTGTTGTGATGCGACCATCAATGGTTGGTTTAAGGCTTTGATGATTCTTGAAGTTCGTCGTAGCATCCGTTTCGCTAAGACCGCAAAGCATATTTGGGACGACCTCAAAGTTTGCTTTGGCCATGGCAGCGCAACGCGTCATTATGAATTACGTCGTCAGATAAGTCTCTTACCTTAAGAAAAACTCAGTGTCTCTGCATACTATACCGAATTGTGCACCTTGTGGGAAGAGGCGCACCAAATATCTCCAACGCTTGCGTCCACATGCGGTCAATGTGTTTGCAACGTGGAGAAGCGTACCAGAGATCGGGATTCGAGCATTCGTCTTCTTGACTTCTTGATGGGCTTATATAATGCCTTCTTGCACAGTGAAACCTCAGATCATGTCCATGAAACCATCTCCTAGCATTACCGAGGCTTACAACATGATCGCTACTGATGAGCAGCAACGTTAAATAGCTATTGATCGGAAACCCAAGGTGGAGGCAGCTGCGTTTGCGGCGTCTCAGGAGCGACTGGTTGTGACTGACCAGCCGGATCAGGGCACTTCTGATGATAAGCCACATTGTCAGCACTTCCGCAAGCACGAACACAACAAAGATAGGTGTTTCGAACTTATTGGATACCGTCCCGACTATTTGGAACGAGGGGGGAAAGGGGTTGGTGGTCGCCATACTGAATCTCGCGGCCGTGGCGGTCCCAAGGCAGCAGCCGCCAGTAATTTTGAGGAAGGCTCCCTTCCAGGTTTCACAAAGTCTCAGCTAGAGCAGTTGAGGAAGTTTCTTGGGAATGACTCGAGCTTCGTCGATGACAACAAATTTTCAGGTAATTTTCCTCGTTCTTATTCCTGGATTTTGGACTCTGGGTTTAATGAGCATATTGCCATTGATGCAAGCATGTTTAGCACACTTTCGTCAGAGTCCCAACTTAGTGTCAGCATACGTAACAGGGCAGCCGTACCAGTTCAGGGTGTTGTGTCTGTTAGGCTCAGTAATGGACTTGTGCTACCTCGTGTTCTTCTTGTACCAGATTTTAAGTGCAATTTACTGTCTCTCAGCAAGCTTACTCAGAGTTTTCTCATAGCATTGACATTCCTAAGGGATTTTGCCTCCTTCGGGACTCACACTCTAGAAGGATGATTGGGATGGGGACGCAACGTGATGGGCTCTACCACTTGAGGCTGTTTGACGACTATGGTGGAGTAGTGGCTCATGCAGCGCAAAAACAAGGAGAGTGACTCGCTACGACACAACACCTAACAAAGGCCAAGTGTAACCAATGGAAGGGACTGCAGTATAGTGGCTCAAGTGATAAATATCGAATCCACGGGTCTCTAGAGTTACTATTACTCAACTTCAGTTTATTATTTAGCAAACCAGATTAAGATGAAAGAACTAAAACTACTCTAGCAAACTACAGTTAAAGTTAATCTAATTACAGGTTGGGAACTCACTTAGGTATGATTCCCCCTAGCCACTAGCCAGATTAATGATTGATGATCTCTAACCTGTTTCACTTTCATTCACAATGCGGAGAATCCTTGACTAGACCTTGAGTCTCGACTAAAGGAACAAGGCCCTCTTGAGTCAATTGCCTAGAGGGACGTATCCTTCTCTAGAACAACTGATCAAGGCGTTCTGAACTAGACTCCCTCTATCGAAAGAGGTTCTCAATCGATACAAAGCAGTGAATCAACCCTCGACTAAAGCAATCGATCCACTACTATCAATCTATGGTGCTCTATTGACCTAATCAGGTATTCCCTCTCATAGAATCAAAGCAGAATCAATAATCTCGACTAAAGCAGAATTGAATCATGAAAACATGCATAGATTGAATATGAACTCAAGATTATCCAGTCAGAGTACTCATACAATCATCCAATCAAACAAACATAGCTAGGGTTCCTCAAAACCTAAGTGAAGGGAAGTTACTCCATAGAGAAGAGAGAGACTGCAGTAAGAATCTTCAGATGATCAGTCTTCAAGTCCGGGCTTGTTCCTCGAGCTTCCAAGGCGAAGAAATCCTCCTTCTCTACTCCAAGAATGCCCTCAAATCGCCCTCTCTCTCTAGGGTTCGTCCCTTGGGTGTTTGGGATCCAAAACCCAGCTCTCCCTCCTCTTTGGTTCGGAATTTGGCTTAAAACCAGGAAATCCCGACTCGCACGGCCAGGGTGCACGGCCGTGCATATCACCATTCTGGCCGTGCAACTCAAAACGCAGCGTGTCATTTAGTCGAACTTCAGCCCTCTCGCACGGCCAGGGTGCACGGCCGTGCGAGCTTCAGGGGTTGCCCGTGCATGTCCTCGGCATAAGGCGCACGGCCATATTGCTCACGTGCACGGCCGTGCAGCCTCCCTGGTCTGCCCGTGCAGCTCCCCAAAAACCTCGCCATTCGTCCGTTCTTCGTCCAATCTACCCCAGACTCGCTCCTAAGCCTTCATTCACGTACTAGGACCTGAAACATCACAAACAAGCACAACCTAGCGTGAAATCGGCCTAAAACACGAGAATCAACACCTCAAACGGTGTAAGAATGGGGGTAAAAACATGTGTAAATGCCGGTCTATCAGAGAGTCACCCAGCAGCTTGTGGCACACACGTTTGGGTCACCCATCGGTTGAGAAGCTCTCTATATTGCACTTAATCTCTAGTTCGAGTCGGTTAGACAAACATCAATGATTGGCTTGTTTGCGAGCAAAACAGAATCGTGTTCCTTTTCCTTTGAGTTTCATAAAGACACAGTTTGTTATTGAATTGGTACATGTCGACATTTGGGGCGGTTATCCCAATGCCAGTTTGAGTAGGGCACATTTTTTCTTGACCATTGTGGATGTCTTTAGTCGCGGTGTATGGGTCTACCTTTTGCGGTTTGAATCTGAGGCTAGTCGGTACTTGAGAATGTTTTTTAAACAAATAGCTTGTTAGTTTGGTTGTTCAGTCCACCGCATACAAGCCGACAATGGCAAGGAGTTCCAACCCAACGAGCTGCTCGAGTATTATGGGAAAGAAGGCATAGTTCTCCAAACTTCTTGTGTTCATACGCCACAACAGAATGGGGTTGTCAAGCGAAAGCACTGACATTTACTTGAAACAACCCGTGCTTAGCGTTTTCGTGCCAACCTTCCCATTCGGTTTTTGGGAGAGTGTTTGCTAACGACAGTGTATATTCTTAATCGAGTTCCTACCACAACAACTCAGAATGTAACCCCTTTCGAACGCCTTTTTAAGTTTCAGCCGACCTATCATCATCTTCGAACATTTGGTTGTTTAGCTTATGCCAAGAATACGACTCCTCACTTGGACAAATTCGGCGAAAGGGGGAGAGCTTGCGTGTTTCTCGGTTACCCTTATTCACAAAAGGGCTATCGGTTGATGAATTTGGAGACAAGGAAGCTGTTTACTTCCCGGGATGTCATTTTCTGCGAGGACCAGTACCCTTTCCGAGGTTCTTCTATTCCCATAGTAGTGCTACCCGAGCGTGCCATGATCGACGAGGATGAAGACTTTTTTACACCTCCTTCGCCTGTCACACCTGATCCCGATGCGTCCACTTCGGACGAACAGGAGAACAACTCCACATCGTCATCTCCTATCCCGCCGTCGCCAGTTCTAGCCACCGAGGTCCCTACTGCTCAAGATGGTCTAGCCCTTGGTCGAGTGCTCCGCACGCGCAAGCCACATGACTACCTTGTGCAGCATTATGATGTCCAACTGTCGTCTTCTCATTCAGGTCATGTTTCTTACATTAAATTCCCATTGCAGGTTGTTGTTAATTATGCTTGCCTTTCCCTTGATCACCGAGCTTACATTGCAGCAATTTCCCCAAAGTCTTAAATGAAGACGACATGCAATGTGAGATAGATGCCTTAGTGTCCAACGAAATATGGGAGCTCATGTCTTTGTCGCAGGGGATGCATGTCATCGACGCTAAATAGGTTTATAAAATCAAATACAACCCAGACGACTCTGTGGAGCGCTATAAAGCCCTCCTTGTTGCAAAAGGCTACACCCAAGTTGAGGGTGTCAATTTTCACGACAAGTTTGCTCCGGTTGACAAACTTGTAACTGTACGCTGTGTTCTAGCTCTCGCCGCCCAGTAGGGATGGTTTCTTCATCAACTTGACGTCAACAATGCCTTTCCTCACGACGATTTAGACGAGGAGGTCTACATGCGCATTCCTCAAGGGTTTGCTCGACCGGGGGACAATAGAGTTTGTCGTCTTCGCAAGTCCCTTTACGGGCTCAAACAAGCTTCCCGGAATTGGTACACTAAATTCACTTATGCACTAGTTCTATTTGGGTTCTCTTGTTCGAAGGCTGATCACTCTCTTTTCACCTGCCGTCGAGGTAATCATTTTTTGTTTGCTCTTATGTATGTTGACGACAACATACTTGGCGGAAACTCTCTTAAGGATATTCAATAGGTGAAGACTTTTCTGAACAGTCGTTTCAGCATAAAAGATTTGGGTACCCTGAAATATTTTCTTGGGATTGAGGTCTCTAGATTGAAGAATGACATTATTCTTACTCAACGCAAGTATGCGTTGGATATCTTGGCTGATGTAGGAGTCCAAGGAGCTCGCCCATCTCTCTTTTCTATAGAGCATAACCATCATATCAGTGCTATCGAAGGACGTGCAGCTTCAGACCCGTTGGCGTATAGAAGACTAGTGAGATGTTTGTTGTATCTCACCGTCACACGTCCATACCTTGTGTCTGATGTGAACATTGTGAGTCAGCAGTTCACAGTCCACGTCAAGCGCACATGGATGCCCCAAATAGAGTGCTTCGATACCTGAAAGGCGCTCCAGGATCAGGTTTATTCCTTCTGTCGAATGGCTCAATGGACTTGACAGCTTACTACGACGCCGACTAGGGAGGATGTCAACAGACCAGGAGATCGACCATGGTCTATTTTATTCAGTTTGGTGCGAGCCCAGTTTCATGGCGCACCAAGAAATAGACAGTAGTTGCTCGTTCTTCTGCAGAAGCAAAGTATAGAGCCATGGCTAGTACCAATTAGTGAATTCATATGGTTGAGATGGTTATTTCATGTGCTGGGAGAACAGATGAAGTTGGCTACACCTTTGCATTGTGACAATCAGACTGCATTACATATAAAAGCTAATCTAGTCTTCCATGAGAGGACTAAACATGTTGAAATAGATTGCTATTTTGTGCGTGAGCGAGCGGCATCACAGGAGATAGCACCACAGATACCCATACATGATCAGGTTGCGGATTTGTTCACTAAAGGTTTGGGAGCGGATCGGGTCAGTTTCTTGTCTTTCAAGTTTGGCCTTCATAATCTTCATGCCTCCGCTTGAGGGGGAGTGTTGCGGACCATGCATCATACGTGCATGTGTTCCGTTAGTGTAGGGAGTTGGTTGTCACATTGTTACAATTAGTGTAGTTGATTGTAATAGCTAGTACATGAGTTGTATCCGAACCCTATAGATTGATGTGGAGGGTTTGGCACATATAAAAGGCAAAGTGTAGCCGCTGAAAAACTTAAGCAAAGGCAATAAGATTGACTCGAGAGCTCTTGCTCTCCGTGGACTAGTCTCGTTCTAATCGAACGGGGAAACCACGTAAACACTGTGTTGTTCGTCTTGGATTCTTTGTTTTTTACAGAGAGAACCGATTCAAAGAAACTCCCAAAATGCAATCCCATAAACCTAGAATCTGACCCTATGAAACCCAGAGACACAACGCCCCAAATCCTAAAATCAGAACTTCTTATTCGCTCGACACTTGCTGTTGTTGACTATTTATGGTTCGGGAGACAACGGCGATGACATGAGGAGCAGGGGAAATCCAAGATGCTAAAGTTCTTCTTAGCGTCAACTCCAGTTGGGATTTAGAAGATGAATTCTTCAAACACAATCGGCACTCGCAATGGCGACGGCGTCATTGAGGCAAAACTTGAAGTCTAGGAGGAGGAGGAGATATTGTTGTTGCTTCTCCTGGTGAATCTTTGCCACCATCGAAAGAGGAAGAGCTAGAGCTGTCAAGGAGGATGGCAGTGGCTATTCGTGGTGGTGGTGGTAGATAGGGCTCAGAAAAAGTCCGATTACCGGATTGACCCAGTTTTTTAAAAAAACGTAATGGACAACCCCACAAACGAAGATGGGATTGGATTGTTACTCGGTTTTGATCAAATCGGATCGGATGCATTACGGTTTGTTCCGGTTTTGACTAAAAAAGTGGATATGTTTATTCCCTCCCAAAAATGTTGTCGTTAGTAACAAAATTGGATAAAAAATTCCATCTCTCACACGTCATTATCCCCACCAGCGATGTCATGTCGGCATCCTTCCTACCAGTTCAACCAGGTACAACCGGTAGCGGTCACCAAGCTGACTGGAAAGTGGTCAGTATTTAACTTTGGTAAAATCCGGTCAAATTCGGGAATTCCGGCCGGTTAGACAAGAAACTGGAATTCAGTGTTATCACACATGATACCCCAAAATAAACACACTTCATTGGGTTTGAACCAAATAACTCCTCATGTTCGTTAGTTTCAATCATACACCAGCAAGCTACAACCAATTTTGGTGTAAATATTAACCTTATATTTTGTATATCTAATACTATATTTTGCACATTATCATTATAAGCATTAATAAAATTCATTTTATATACTTTCAGTTTTACCCTTGTAATTGTTTACCAATATTTAGCTACAAATTATTTTGTGTAAAATAATTCTTCTAATTGTTTTTTCATAACTAATGTATTTGAAATTTGAAATTGAGAATTTCCATTTTTCTCATGTATTTTATTAAAACCGACATGAATACTGGTTGTACCACGGTCGGACCATTCCGCTTGCAAAATCGCCGCACTGCATAAACCGGGTTGACAACCTTGCTTCCCACCCACACAATACCTAAATCCCTATCTTCTTCTTCCATCTCTATCAAACTCCATCTCTATCGAACAGCAATTGCTTTCTCCCACCAGCAACGAAATCCACTTCTACCCTCTGCTTTCTTCTCCTTTCCCTTTCCTTTGCTTCAATAAACGAAGATTGGAGAGCCGATTGGAGAGTCTGGCACCCATAAACTCTCTTTTGTTCTCCCTTCCTCTTGCATACCACCATGTATGTCGTGAACAGAGGAGGTCAAGAAAGAGAAGAGAATTGAGATTAAGTGAGCACTGGTTTGCGTCGGGGAGAGAGGTGAGTCGCTGGCGAAAGTAGCGATGGATGATGGAGGTCATATCGGATGAGATGAAAGATGGGAGAGTACTGGTGGTGGAGTGGCGATGACTAGTTCTTGGTCGCCGTCATTAGTCATGGGAGGCGATGGTGGGAGGCGATTGACCGACGAAGGAGCTTGGATTCTCTTCTTCTTCTTCTTCTTCTTCTTCTTCACTTCGCGTGTGTGTGTGTGTAAAGTGTGAACAGAGAAGATATAATAGTTTGAGGGTTAGAGAGGGAGAGAACATAGAGAAGGTAATTGCCGATTAGGGTTTGGGGTTCAAGCTGAGAGGTCAACTAGGCTTGGTTGGGGGATGGGATGTGTTGGACTGGACTATATTTGTATTAACATGTTTTTCGGTTTTTCCCGATTTTAACTGAATCGAACTCGTATGGTTTTTTGTGCGGATCCTACAACCCCAAATTGGATTGGGTTTGTGGGAATCTGGTGTCCGGTTACAACAGGATTACTTTAAAATGGTTGGTTTTGGTTTGAAAGAATGTAACACCCCGATATTTGGGTTTAGGATCGACCGAACGGGTAGATCGACGGTTACGTACGAAGGGTTTGACCATAGATTAGAAATAATAATAATAATAATAACATTTTTATTTGATACTATTATTATTTTTATTATTATTATTATTTAATCATAAATCATCACAATTCCATTCCACTCAGATTCTCTCTCTACACCAAGTTGTGTCTCAAATTCTCAATTAAATACCCAGCAAATGGACGACGTCTCTCCACTTCCCCAAGTTAATTAGCCAAATAAATTGCCCATGTTAATTGCCTTGTCAGTTCAACCTCCTTTAAATGTCAACAACAATGCCTCATTTGAGGAAGGAAAGAAAACCCTAGCCCTTCCATTTAAACGTCAACAGCATAGCGGCGACGTCAAGTGAGCACCTCCACTCGTCCTGTCCAACAAGCAAAACACCACCATCGACGACAAAGTTTTCTCGTGGCATTGTAGAGGTAAGGTTCTCGACCCCTCCTGTCCCTAAGATCAACCGTTGAACCCCGATTAACCCGAAGAATACACGTAATGATCGTAGTTCCGACAACGACTCGGTGTAGGTGACTTCGACCTTTCTTTGAGTGGTGGTTACCATTGCGTACAGGACGATCTCGGGAGCATCCTGGTCTCGACAGAATCGAATTTCGAAGTTAGACGAGGGAGGTTGGGGCGCAAATCTGATAATTCAGGTACTAATGTCGTAAATTCAAAAATAATAAGTACTGTGACAGTAATTCCGTTTCAGTCTGTGAGAAAATATCCAGATTAGTCCCCCATGTTATCAGTTTGAGCAGCTTAGTTATAAATGTTTTGAAAACTGACAATGGGCCAAAAATAGTATTTTATCAAAATTTTTATTTTGTAGAAATTTTACAGTATGTATTTTCGTGAGTTGATAATTTTATAAATAGTATAAAATCAAGAGGACGGTTTGGTATTAATCTGAGAATTTTTGGATCTGTTTTTCTATTTATAAAAATAGATAGAAAAACGTTTTTGATAAATTCAAATAGTCTGTGAGCGTTTTTGTCATATTTGGAATTATTCCTTGAAGCTAGACGCCAGTATGGTTGCCCAAATTTTCTGGAAATTTTTGGAGCCGTGTTATTAATTACAAAAATTAAAATGATGACGGGTTTTATTTATTTAATTATTGTATGAGTTATTTTTATTAGTTCGTTAATTTTTTTGTAAAACTATAATTTATTGCTCTGTTAATATAGATCTAAAATTCATTATTTATAAAATTGAATAAGTAGAAGGAGTTAGTTAAGGTGTAAATTTTACTCGATAATTTTGGGTCATGTTTAGAGTTATTCTAAGTAAGAATTTGGAGTTCTTAAGAAGTGAAATATTTTGAGAAATTTATGAGATTTATTTATAAGAATTTTGAGTTGATAGTAATAATTCATGTCTTGGTAAAATTTGGGGAAAATCACAATATTTGAGAAAATTATTTCAAGAAGTTCAAGATCCTTTTTAAAGAATTTTGGGACTAAGCTAGGAGGACGGAAAACTCTATCGGAATACCGACTAAGGGTAATTAATCTCAATTGATAGGATTAAGGAAGTGATCAAGTTAAGGATCTTCGCGCCCAACGAGTTAAAGTATCGGCACTTAAGAGAGTGTAAAGGGGATAAATTCTACGCCTTACATGTTCAAGTATTTTCTTTACGTGAAGTGTGAGTGCACTGTTTGAGTTATGATTGTGTTGATTATGCATGCTTTGATTTGAGTTATTGTTTTGAGCATTTCAATATCTACGTTTAAGAATTTAAGTTTATGTTTTTACGACGTTTAAGAACGAGTATTTTTAATGCTTCCTTGTTTACTACGTTATGGCGTTAAGAGTAAGACAAAGTCACGAGTAAAGATCACTACCGGACGGTGATAAGTTCCGCGGTAGTTGATCACTACCGGATGGTGATACGTTCCGCGGTAGTTGGTCGTGGAGCCAGACGGTGATGAGTTCCGCAGTTTCCATTGCTTAGATTTAGGTGTGCTACCGGATAGTGATACGTTCCGCGGTAGTCACGCTGTAGTTTGACACCGGATGGTGATTCGTTCCGCGGTGGCAAATCCATTGGAGGGGCATCCCATTGTGAGGGTAGTCATGATTAAGAAAGTAAGTAAGGCTAATAGTGGCGCTAGCTAAGTCGAGGCAGGGGCCCCAAAGTAAGCTAAAGGACGAAATAATACATTTTACAAGAGTTAAAGTTTGAAAGGCGAGAGTAGAAATCATTTCCGCAAGTTTGTTGTGAGCTTCTAGAGAATAACCTTAGCCGTTTCAAGTTTAAGTAGGGCGTAGACTGACCCCAATTCACTCACCGGATCGTAGAGGAGGAGATCGTAACCAGACAGTTTGTGACCAACAAGTTAGAGGAGTTCTACACCAGCGTTGTTGAGAAATGTGGGCCAGGCGTCAAAGTAAGCACTGGAGAACTCTTTAAGTTATAAGACTTTATGGTTAAGAGTTAAAGTCTGGAGATACATTTTTTCGACGATTCAAGTTTTGCCCACGTGTTTAGGGCTTCGCTTTGAGATATTAAGATATTTAAGATTGGGATTTTATTTAAAGTTATGTTATTTGAAAATTTTTAATATACCCCGGGGTAGAAATGTCTTTTCAAGGTCAAAGTAGTGGGATGTTTCACAGAAAACAGGTACCAGATTTCCAGCCCTAGTGGTAGATGTAGGAATGATTTGGGGGTTTAGGTTTTCTGGGTAGATGGAAGAGATGGCAGATGTGATTCTTCTGTTTTATTTTTATTTTTTTGTTCAGGAAACAAGTGGATTGAAGAGCACAAATTTTTTATTATTCTTTCTTTAGTTTTTGCGTAAAATACAAAATTAATGATTATGGCGAATTTTAGAATTTTTCAAGTGGATATATGTTGACCTGTTGGTCATGTGGCAGGTTAACTATTAGTCAATGATTTTGACCGATGCTGCTCTCGACTTGCGAGAGACATTGAAGACATGAATCAAGGTGGGTGGGGTCTTACTGCTTGTCAGCTCGAAGGAGGAAGGTGAAGATCTGAAGATGAAGGTGACGAGGGGAGCTGTAGGTTATGTGGGGAGGGAGAGGAAAAAGTTGTGCCAAGATAACAATGATTTCGGACGACTGTGCCTGCCTCAGCTTGTGCGACGGTGATTTCGGAGGACTGTAGCAACTCGAACTTGATTGTAATATATAATAAATTTAAAGAGTAATAGTACATGATTACAATGTAGTAAGGAGAAACAAATAATGAAAAACTTTACCCCAAAATGCTCTGTCTCTCTATTACTTTTCCCTTGTGTTCGTCTATGATATTCTTTCTCTACAATATCAACGACTCCATTCCTTCCGATTCGTGAAAAAAATTTAGTTCGATAAGTGAAACAACCCGATCCTTTTGAAAAATCAAATTCATAACTCGAACCAAAAACAGGTTACTCCGGAGCAACCCAACCCATGTTTACAAGTCAAAAAACAAAAATCATCAACGATAATGTTTAAGATTCTCAAGTGAAATGCCCTAACACTTGGGCAACCTCAATCCAAATCAACAAACACAAAACACCATCCTTGAGTTTCCCAGTATACTCATAAAGATACAAAATCGAGGGCAAAGGCTAGCGTACTTTAGTCGTACGCTGTACGCCTATGTTTACACTTGGTTTTTGCACTTCAATATATTTCGCTGAATCAAAACAGTCGGTTATTATTTTTTAGATTAAATGAATCTCGTGGCTTGGGTTAGAGAATTAGGGACTGGGGTTTTTCCATGAGAGGTTATGGTATAGTATCATGCCCAAAATTTCGGTTAATTCCTGCTATGAATAGTAAAACTCGACGGGCGTACAATGAACGACTGACGTACGCTAGTCTGAACCTGAAATAGAGACATATATGATAAAAAAAAGATCTCATCTCGTTACTCTGATCCTTCTGACATCTTCAAGTTTGTCGCAGTTGCTCTCCTTGGGTAACCTCCTCTTGATGGGTACGTCCTCTTCCCCTCTCTATACCAGGTGAGTGAGAATGAGTCAGTCTCGTCGTTACTTCTTAAGTTCTTTTCCCTAACCAAAACCTTACTAGCACATTATTATAAATTCCTATCTTACATGAAAGTCGTTCTCGCTTTCATCCTTACTACCTTACTCCTTAAATCTCATAGAAGCTCTATACTTCTATCTTAACTTATACACCTAAAACTAGAGTCCACCGCGTTACGTATCGTCGTCCGGTGTCCCTAGCCTTAAGGCAATGGTTTGCGTTACGTATGGTCGTCCAGCCCATGCTCGGCCAAATATTGCGTTACGTATTGCCGTGTAGTAATGACCCAAATCCTTGATCAACTGTTGTGTAAGTATCGACGTTCAGCAGTGATCAGAACATCTACTACGTCCAGTAATAGCCCAATTGCCCGAGAGTTCATTAATTAACATCATACATACATTACAAACATACATTCTCATACATAGCACAACGCGTGCCTCCACTTTAAGTAGGCAGTGGGATGCCTTACACACATAATCACGCATAAACTCAAATTAACTAGCATTGCTTTAAGTAAAAGCATAAACTAAAAGACCTACGAATGAGATATTACCCCCTTTACACTCACCTCGTAAAAATGACTCATCGATTCCTTACTAAAAAAATCCCTCCTTAGCTGAATTACCTCGGAAAACCTATTAATAAGAATTTTATTTTCTTAGATGAACCTCACTCCAAAGATCACTTAACCTTCTTTAAAAATTTTCTAGAAATAACCCCTTCATAAATCGATCATTTTTCTAATTAATTTCGCCTTGGGCGAATTTTTTACCTAACTTGAACCTCCATAAAAATTCAGATAATAATTTTACCATGTCTATCATGAAGACATATATACTGGAAAATTATCAAATCCTGAAAAACATCTCAGCATGATTTTTATTTAATTAAAATCAACATTCGACCAATTTCATAAATTAATAATTCATCTTCAAATATTCCCAATTTAAATTGCTAATTCTAGACGGTGGAAATTACGCATTAGACAAGATGACGACGAATGCTACATTAGGTCAACCTCACCTTCGACGTGGTCGACCTCTTGCAACACGTACAACAGCAACCGCGAAGGATCTTCTTCATAAAGGCTCTAACCGTAAAAAAACCTAATTCAGAGTTTTGGTGGCGGTGAAGGTAACATATATTCGTATTTATAGATATTTAGGACATGAATGGGTCGAATTAAGTGGTAGATAAGTTAGGGTTACCTTTCTGACGTTGCAATCCTTATACAATATGGATATGATGTGCACGCGCTCGACCTCGTACTTATGCGGTCGACCTATTAAGTGCAAAATGGTCGGCCTATGAGGTATTTGGGTGACCTTACATTTTGTTCGCTTCCCAAAGAGGTCGACCATTTGCTATAGGCGGTCAACCACGTCGTTGAATCTCACAAAACTGAAACAGCAGATTCGATCGACCTAATCCTATATTAGGTCGACCGAAAAGTCCAGGTTAATTCTATCATTTTTCATGTGCCACAATTGATCTTTTTTTTTTTTGAAAAATAATTGGTGAAATTCAATTAAAACAAAATATATTGATTGATCGAAAAAATAATTTAAAATATAGAATTCAATCTCAATAAAACACAAGCTTCTTCATTGCTTCTTACGTAAGTGGATAAAATGGTTGGGTTTTGTGGAGATGACTGTGCTTCGTCAGTTTTTGGTGAAATGGTAACCATGTTTTGCTTTTGCACTGATTTTTCAGAACGGAAACCTCTTACTTCAGACACATCGAGTCATCGAGTTGAGCTTTTAGAATCATTGAAAAGCAAGGTTGTCAAACCGGTTTATGCCAGTGTGTCGGTTTAGCAAGTGAAATGGTTCAACCGGTGGTACATATCGGTTATGCCGGTTCATACCGGTCAATATTACAAATAATTTACAAATACTCATATTTAAACACGACATTTAACATCAATACCTAAACATTTGTGCTTGAATCCAACAAATAGCATCAACAATTAACTTTTAAACTCATAAAATAAATAATAAATTAATTTTTATCAATTAAATTCACTAAGATAAGATCAGTTTACTTAGAGATTCGTATATCGATCATGCCGGTCATACCGGTGTGGCACGCCGGTTTTATGAGTGGCATCGGTTGAACTAGGTTCAACCACTGGCACGCCGGCCGGCATGACAATCATGTTGAAAAGTGTGTAATAATTCTCAAATCTTTTCTTCTTTTTCCATCACTTTCTTCCTTAACATTTCAGTACAAAATTCACAACTGCAATTTTGTTGACTAGCCGAAAGGCGGGTCAGATGTAAGGAGATCCTTAAGCCAGTATTCTTGGCTGATAATGGGTTAGATAGTTAATGATGTTAGTAGTTAAGTTAAATGAGGATAAATGGGTATTATGCTAATACGATTAATATAATCAAAATGAATAAATAATGATTTTCTTTCTCTCTCCTCCTGCAACCGTTTCCATAATCATATCTCCATTACAATTAAAAGAATGCCGGAATTTATTTAATTAAATATTATTATTTAGTACTAATAAATTTAAACTTGATATTTTTAATTTATTAAAATGGAAATTGAAATTAAAAATATCCGCTCTCTTATTTTGTAGAAACTTGACATTTTGCATTGACATTATCAAGGTTTATGAAATGAATCATTATTACTATATCTTAACATTATTAACGATTTCAAAACACTAATCAATGCTTTAAAATTATATTATTAACTATTTTAGATAAATTGTTAACGATATACATTTTTGTCATCTACACTTATGAATGAATAATCAAATTTATGCAACATCATCATTAATGATTTGAATAATACTATCATTGGTATACAAGATCTTTATTAATGGTTCACGTTTTCACGGCATGTTCATAACTATTCAATCATGGTCTCTTACAATGATTTTCAATTACATTATCAATGTGTATGAAATGAACTATTAATGATATATCCATCATTAATAACAATTTCAATATACTTATTGTTGGGGGTATTACTAAAGGGGCCCAAGAAGAGCTCATTCAGGTGAAGGTAGCCCAAGGCAATGGGCCAGGAGAAGAAGCCCAGAATTGTTGGGGGCATTATTAAAGGGGCCCAAGAAGAGCCCATTCAGGTGAAGGTCGCCCAAGGCAATGGGCCAGGAGAAGAAGCCCGCAAAGCCCATTGCACTCCATGCAGCATAGGCATGGAGACAAAGCACGAAGGGCCAAAGAGGTCCAAGCTGGCAAGTGGTCCCACGCTTGTGGGCGCCTGCTAGCCGTCAGAAGCCTGACAAGGTGGTTGGGGCTTCTGACAGAAGTGAAGGTACAAAGCATTTAATGAGATGGTGACGTGGAGGAGATCCACCTCGAGCTCGATGAGTATAGATAGGGGCAGTTAGTAACATTTACACAGGTTGGACTCTCTCACTAAAACTTATAGTTTCATACTTCTCTCTCTATAATGGGAACTAACTTGAGCGTCGGAGGATTAATGGGCCCAGGCGCCCCCCTCAATGTGTGTGTGTAGGTCAAGCGCCTAAGGATTGGCTAGCAGGACCAAGGCGCACCAAGGAGCGGGCTTCAAGGTGAGGCGCCTACAGAGCGTTAAGCAGGAATCGGGCGCTCAGAAGATCAGGCTCCAAGGTGAGGAGCCTAAGGTGTGACCAGTAAGGCGGATGTGTTTGGGCACAAACACTTATCAATTCTTCAGAATTTACATATAAGCGTGATAATAATTGCATATAAATAGGTAATATCCATAATACATGTTATTAGCAATTCTCTTCTCGAAAACTTGATAAAGATATAAAAATTATCAATGGTTAAGATTTGTTCCATTTAAAAATTAAAAAAATAAAAACAAAATCAATGTTGATGATTGGATCTAATGGTCGTCAATCATAGTACAAATTATTAATAATTCGTTCTCAAAAATTTATATGCTTACATCCACCCCTTATTAATGATTCGATACTAATTATTAGGAAAACAATAATAACCACAAAGAAAGTAATTAACCATACCTATATAAAAAACATTAACACCATTGTTGCAAACCGTTCAAAAGGGCATCAACACGTTAACAAATCCTAGCCAAATCATCATTATCAATGAAACTACGTTAACAATCAACTATGAAAGGTTAATAATCACACTAACAATGCTAGGTAATGTTGCTTCTAAGGTATTATTAAAGTTTTTGGATAACTTTTTATCGATTAATCATATTGTTACCAATATTAACACATGGTATTATAAATGATTGAAAACATAATTATTATCGCATTTAAAATAATATTGGGTGTTTTATGATATCATTATTAATGATTTCTCATTGTTTTTTCAATGAAAAAATTAATACACATACGTGGATAATAGTAAGTTAAATCGGAAACAATTGATCCCCAAACAATTAATAATTCAATAGCCGGTCACTGTAAAATGTAAAAGGTATGGTTAAGCAGATGTACTCACGTGAACATTGAAACTGAATAGACTGTATTCGTTAAAATCTAAAACAAAAAATAAGTATCTAATGAATTATGAGTTCAATACAACCTGTTTAGCGGAAAGACGGATATTCCTTGCTCATTATGAGTCCTTTTAGTAATATTCTGATGCCTTTTTATTTAATGGACTCCTTCCAGTAATTAAGCAAAAGGACCAAGGGGTCCTTCCGTGCAACGCGCACAGCACAGAAAAAATTGAATGATGTAGGTTCTGCCGCAGAACCTCCTTATATGTTTGGGAGGATTCGTTAAAATCTAAAACAAAAAATATTAATCATTGATTTTAACACCAAACACAAAACCATCATTCAGAAGCTATACATGTGAACAATGGAACTTAATTACTTACCATGGGCTATGGTTCCTTATGAGACCGTCGCCGCTCATCCAATTTCAATTGCCAACACGCCGGCGAGTTTGTCGTCCTTCACCATTATCCTCAAGCCACCGTAGATTGATGGCCTCCTCGCGGGAGCCAGTTACAAGGTTCGTTCCTCCGACCTCCCCCACGTCGCCCATCAGCTGGAGTTGCTTGAGATCACCATGCTCAACTCACTCCAACTGCTTTTGCTCCAAGCGTACGACGCCGTTTCTGTAAACATGTTTACACCCAAAAAATAATTTTGTATCACATTGATTATTTACTAGACATTAATTAGCTTTATAAGACGAGATCAATCATAACAATTAATGTTATTTAAGCTGTGGCTTATGATACTAGATTTTTAAGGCCAAACCAGTAAGTCTCCAGGAAGGAACTAATCTCGGCACGAGTTGGATAGAGCTAGGTGGTCGCGAGATGTCAAGTTCGCTAAACTAAGATGGCAGCGAGATCTAGACCACGTTGGCGTCACCCTAATAGACCAAGGTGGTCGCGATATCTAGACCACGTTGGCGTCAAGTTCGCTATACTAAGGTGGCCGCGAGATCTAGCCCACATTGGCGTCAAGCCTAATAGATGAAGGTGGCCGCGAGATCTAAACCACGTTGGCGTCAAGTCTAATAGATCAAGGTGGTCGCAAGATCTATACCACGTTGGCGTCAAGTATAATAGGCAAGGTGGTCACGTGATCTAGACCACGCTGGCGTCAAGTCTAGTAGACCACGGTGGTCGCGAGATCTATACCACGTTGGCGTCAAGTCTAATAGACCATAGAAGGCCCTCGTCTTGGGATCTTTAATGACCATGGTAAAAGGGGGTGGGGCAAGTAACAGGACGTCAGTTCCAAGAGAGAGAGAGAGAGTAGGCGGTTAACAGGGAAACTGTCGATTATCCCACGTTCAATGACACGTGTCAGCCACGTCCGAGGAAGAAGGGGAGCAGTTCTTTTTGGAAGTTACTCTCAGACGGTTTTTCTACAACGGTTACCACTTTAATGCTATAAATAGGAGGAGGAGTTGAGAGAGAAAGGGTCGCCAAAATCACACCAGGCAACCCAATGTCAAATTTTATCCTTTTATCTTTCCTCTGCAACTTTTAGCCATAGTAGTAGATCGGAGCTCTAACTGCACATCCATAGAAACACCCTTTTTATAATCTGTTTGAAGAGGTGTGAACCATAGGGATGGCAACAAAACCCGAACCCACGGGTTCCCACCCGACCCGACCCGGTCTACGCGGGTAAAATCCGTGTTTACGGGTTTTGGGTTTAAACCCACTGATAGACCGTTAATTGCACATGTTTTTACCCCTATTCTTGAGCCGTTTGAGATGTCGATTCTCGTGTTTTAGGCCTATTTCACGCTAGGTTGTGCTTGTTTGTGATATTTCAGGTCCTAGTACGTGAATGAAGGTTTAGGAACGAGTTCGTGGTCGATTGGACAAAGTTTGGACGTTTGGCGAGAAGCCGATAAGTCACACGGGCATGCCTAAAAGCCACACGGCCGTGTAAGAGAACCCACGTGGTCGTGTGGAAATTCTAGGGAACTCACGGGCAGTCTGGAAATCCACACGGCCGTGTGATTGTGGCCGTGTAGGATGGCTAAAGGCACTTAATTGAAACGCCGCGTTTTGCACAACTCACACGGGCAGCTGGGCAAGCCACACGGCCGTGTGGCCTGCCCGTGTGGTCGGGATTTTCTGGGTTCTAACCCAAATTCGAGCAAAAAGAGAGGGAATTGACTTTTCATAGCAAAAACAGAGCCCTAGAAAGAGAAAGCGCGAAGGCCGAAGAACACCTCCTAAGAGTGGTTTTGGAGCTGGGTTTCATCAATCAAGCTTGGAAATCATCCTTGGAGTGAAGATTGACATCCAAGAGCAGATTCTTCCCATCTTGATGAGTATGACTGTTGTGTTTGCTGTTTTCCTCTCTCTCTCTCTCTCTCTCTCTCTCTCTCTCTCTCTCTCTCTCTCTATGGAGTAGAACCCTAGTTCCATGTGTTAGGGATCAAGATTGTAATGACTTGGGATTGTTATACTGTTTGGTTTTAATCGAATGATGCATGATTCATTGAATCAATTGAAGTTTGATCATCTTTTCTTGATTTCTGCTGCAACTTGAGATAGATAGAATCTGATTAGGTTGTTAGAGCTTCATCATTCGGTAGTGGTAGATTGGTTATACGAGAGTTAATCAATCTACTGCTTTGTACTGGAACTCAATTCCAGTAGTGGAGTTCTGTGCTTATTGCTTCAGCTTTCTATCCCGGTGAAGACTAGTCGTCTGCCGGGTAGTTGGACTGAGAGGGCTTGGTCAGCTTAAGAGATTCCAAGCTACTGTCAGATCTTCCGCAGTTTAATCAACAGTAAATCAACCCAGGGTAATTACAACTGAGACCTAACTAAGTAGCTAGGGGGGCTCATTCCCGAGTGACTCTTTCTTTGCTTCAGAAAACCGAACCATTTCCTGCTTTCTTACTGCTTTTAGTTAAAACCACAATCAAGCGACTTAGTTGGCTAGATAATAGATATTCACGGAGTAGGTAGTAGATCTAGACCCCGGGTTGATAATTAGAACTTGCCACTGTACTGCATTTCCGGACTGCGGTTACACTTGGTCGCAGTGTGGTGTTGTGTCGTAGCGTGTCAAGTTTTTGGCGCCGTTGCTGGGGAACCTCTAGGTTATTGGAGAAACGTGAAAGTTTGTTACACTAGCTTTTTCTTTATTGCATTTTCTCTCTTCTACCTGTGTGCCTTCACGGGTTGATTTTGTCGATTGTGTGCAGGTAGTGCATGACCCGTAGCCAGTCAGGAGATCTACTACCATTAGACCAGGAGCTTGAACAAACCTGCAGGAACTTCAAGCGGGCTCTAAGGGTGCGACTGGCTGCGGAGGAGGCGCTAGCACAGCTGCAAATCGCCGACGAAGAAGAGATGGGTGATCCACAGGACAATGATGTGGTCCTTCCTGAGGAGCAGACCATGGGATACTACTGGATCGGCAGAGCCGCGGATATGAGGTCGCCCATTCAACACCCTCATGTGCCAGCGAATAACTTTGAGGTGAGCACCTCTGTCATCACCATGCTACGCGTTTTGGTGGTGTTCCGTGGCAAAGAGGGGGAGTGCCCCCGATCACATCTGAGGCGATTCCACTAGCTCTTCGATGGAATCAAGATAAATGGGGTCCCAGCCGATGCCATTCAGCTGAGGTACTTCCCATTTACTCTGGAGGGGCAGGCCAAGGTGTGGCTAGACACTCGACCTCCAGGCTCGATCACCACATTCGCCAACCTGGCGGACAAGTTCCTCACTCGCTACCATCCCCGTCCAAGACGGCGGACGTGCAGAAGAAAATTACCCACTTTGCTCAGGATGAAGATGAGACCATCCGAGATGCTTGGGAGAGATACACCAGTCTCTTTCTCAAGTGTCCCACCATGGTTTTACTGATGCCTTCAAGGTGGGCACCTTCTACCATGCCCTCTTCCCGGAAGACAAGCAGCTAATTGACTCGGTCTGTGGCGGGAATATGCTCACCAAAACACCGCCACAACTGAATCAACTTTTTGAAGAGATGGCAGAGCAGGGCTATGACTGGGGAACTGCGAGGAGATCGAGACGAGCACCAGGACGGGGTGCTTCGAATGTTCATATATCCTCAATTTATGCACCAGAGTCAGAGGCTAAGAAGGAGTACATGTCGAGCGTCCCATATGCTAGTGTAGTTGGTTGCTTGATGTACACTATGGTATGCACTAGACCTAATCTTGCACGTGCTGTTAGTGTTGTTATTAGGTTTATGATACAACATGTGAAGGAGCATTGACAGGCTATGAAGAGGATCTTCTGGTACCTTAAGGGTACATCTGATGTGGGGATTAGCTTCAGAAGTGATATGGAGTGCTTAGTGGCTGGTTATACAGATTCTGACTA